CTCGGGTCGGGTGCGGGTTCGAAAAATCAAACCCGCGCAGGACTCTAGCTTCCGTTCCTTGGTGCTGTCATGGACTTTCTCTTAATAGACCGACTATTGAACTAAACGTAGGTATACGAACATTTATCCTCAATTAGAATGAGAATGTCAATCTTGAGATGAGAGAAAAATCGAATAAACCAATTAAAAAATGAGTACTCTTCTTTGTTTGAGATGACAATGAAGACAAAGAATATAATCTCTTATAGAATCTCATAAAGATCTTATAAAAAGAAAAAATTTATTTAGTGCGTATTAAATTAAATAATGAAAACAAATAATTATTTACAGATAGTTCGAACTTGACAGATGGCTTTCACCATCTTGTTTCCTTTCTTGTATAAAGTCCAATTATATTCATTGAAAAAAGAGAACATTTTTTTTTTTTCGTTTGTATTTCATTCTAAACAAATGTATATGACATACTCTGATATAATTCTTTTTTTGTTTTTGAATAATTTACAAATCAGAAGGTTTCTAGTTTTACAACTGAACGCGATAATTAATATTTTCACTTTAGCTACAGTGCAATGTGTTTGGTAAAATTCTTAAAGTTCAATATTATCTATTAAAACAAATCTATTTTAACTAGTTCAGCCTTTTGACTTAGTGTATGAATGAAATAGAAAATGTTCGATATTTCCTCATTCTTTATGTATAAACATTGTACCAAGTATTTATTTGTTTAAAGAAACGTATACATTCAATAAAATATTTTAATGCTTTGGAACATGATAACATTGATTCAAAATTGAACATTTAATTCCGAATTTTATTTTGAAGATGTTTGTGAATGACAATATGACTGAAGAATACGAGTATCATTTACAGCTACATCTCAATTATCGTAAAAAAACTGAATTTTTTTCTTTTTTGACTTTATATATGGATGATCCTTTTGCTGACAAGAATATTTCTGTCTTTGTCGTCAAAATTACAAATTAACAAATAAAGTCGGCAGGACTAACAACGCAATTCTACCGTTAGATCAATAGTAATCAGAAGAAAACTTTCTTACTTTTATTGATCACAGTTAAATAAACTCTCTGATCCAATGAAATTTAAAGGGCTTAACAACTTAGTATAGAATGAAAATGTAAAGCAATACAATATGTATATAGTTGAAAACGACTAAATTAATTTGATGATGATTGAAACTGCGGACTATGAATGTAGATTTGAACACGATGATTATCATCAGTCACATACAGTTAAAGGTGATAAACAAGTACGTGGGTTAGTGCTAGTCTTTGTGTAAATTTATAGAGATGCGTCTACTGCTAAGTATATTTCCACTTCATATTCAAACTCATGTCTACAACCATTAACACTCGTACTCATTTCTAGAAACGAAAGAGAATATTATATACAGTAAAGTGCAAAAGTCATTGACTCTCGCACAATGAAATTTTCTTAAGCCATATGTCTGATAGTTTCTGCAGAGATCTTCCGAGAACTTCTTAGAAACTGAGGAAAGGTCTAAATACAGTTGTGTTTGCCATAAATTATCGTCAGCGTGCTTCAGTTGGATGTGGGTGTGAGTTTGTGTAACATTCACGCGACAGTAACAGACATCCACACCCTTTTCATTGCTATATTGCGAACAGGAATTCTGAAAATTTGGTCTGTGTGTTTCGCAATAACGCATAACTTATGAAAGTCTTCTTTATTTCTAGAGTAGGAGTAGATTCGATAGGAAATTGCTTGAGTTATTCTCTGCTCTCTCTAACACCCAACATAAGCCAACCCAGTCGTACTCATACTCTAAATCTCTAGATATGTTTAATTGATACTATTTATTTTTAAATTCTTTCAGTTATGTCTTCGTTCGTGGGAATTTTCATTGTTTTACAATAGATTCTGCAGATCTACTATAGCCAACCAATTGTCATATGATTAACAGATGCAAATAAACTATTATCTCTCACATGACTCAGTCGATAAGAAGCCACTTCGGTTAGTTGTCATTTTATTAGTTACTAAATACGAATGTTTTTCTTCTTATTTTTATTGCTTACTTTGACATTTAAATATTGGATTAAAAAAAAGAATAGACTACAAATCCTAGTTACATTTAACGAATAATACGAATAGAAATGGGTCACAACAATAATAATAACGATATGTTTGTTCAGGTAATGAAAAAGCAAAAGATTCTACAAGAGATGATTCAAAGAGATGTTGTTTTTGTTTTGTCTCTCATACCTTTAGGCAAATAGTGTCGAATCTGGTTCTTCGGATGCTCCTACGGATTTAACATCTAATCAAGAGCAACAGATAAATTCAATTAGTAAATCAATCGAAGAAATAGATTCTGATAGAAATGAAATATTGCCTATCGAAACGAAAACCCTCAAACGACATCTCGGTCTGTTTTCTGGAATCTCGTTTGTACTTGGTATGATCATTGGTAAATAAGATATATTCATTTCAAACTATTTTGTTTTTTTGTGAAATATTTTTCTATATCAGGTTCGGGAATATTTATTTCTCCAAAAGGTGTTCTAAGACAAACAGAATCGATTGGATTATGTTTGGTAATATGGGTATTATGTGGTTTCATTTCTATATTGGGTGAGATTTTGAGTTTAAAAAAAAACTAATCTTTTTTCTCAAATACATATTTTTATTATAGGTGCATTGTGCTATTCAGAAATAGGTACAGTTATACCGCTGAGTGGTTCAGAATTAGTTTATATGCGAGAAGGTAATCTTGAAATTATTAAAGCATTTTATTTTGAATCCATGAACAAGAAATTTGTAAAATATTTTGTTTGAATGCGTCTTTCATTTAAAAAAAAAATGAAAACAATCTACTATACTATATCTTTTCTCAGTTTTCATATGATTTTTTTTGTCGATTTATTTATTCATATGAATTATGTCATCCTACTATTGATTTATACTTAGTATTTTGAATATGTTCACTACACATCTCGACTTTTACAATATTGACTTTGACATATATTTCTTGAAATCTTTAGAATTTTGAATAGAGAAACTATTAAGAAATCAAGATAAAATTATTACCATGAATAAATAAATAGAAAAAAAAAAAGAAAAGAAAATCACAATATGAGTATTGCTAACTTCATAATCATAAAATGTAATTCAAACATGATTCTGAGACTTCAATTCTAGTATGTCCTCGTGTTAGTTTGCTTTAATTCATTAGTGGTTTATCTAAAGACAAGAAGGTATGATGTGTATAACTAAAAATTTACTATTTGTTTCCATCAAATAAACATTCTCGTCGTGCTTTATTTTTTATTAAAGTAATAATTTTTTTTCTCTTGGGTTTTCTTCAATGTTTTTGAGATATATACGTATTTCGATGAGTCTCATCTATCAGACAGATCATTTTGAAGATAGTAAAGAAACGATTGAGTTTAGCCCAAATGAAAAACCTTCATATGGAAAGAGAATTGGTTAGGTACTTTCTAAATGCATTGATTTGGCTGTCGAAAAAGAAAAACAAAAAATGGTTACTATCGGTATTACCCATAAATTATGCTTGAAGAAAATGAAAACGTATGCATGCTAAAGTGCGTTATTTGTCGAGTAGAGATTTTTTTTTGAAATTTTCGGCCTCTCATTGTAAATATGCGATGTTCTAACTGTGGATAGTTGGAAATTCTGCTCAGAATTTTGAAAAGCACTGTACGATTAGTTGTTATATAGGAAAAGGTTTAACACAGTTCTAACCTCAGTATCATGTATTTTATAATCTTTCTAACTTACTCAAGAGATTCTTTTAATTAATATAAACTCATTTTATTCATTTGCAAATCATATTGTTTTATATAACTATTTGTTTTTCTTTTCTTACATTCAAATACATTCTGTTGCATTATAGTAGTATGATTATCTCAAGAGTAGTTCTGCCATTTCGTACGATGAAAAGTTTGTGTATAATTTAGAAATTTTTTATTCCATAAAAGAGTGATCTCACTAAAAACAAGAATGCTAATAGTACGATAGCTCATTTTTTGTCATAACAAAACGACAGTATTTATACTGTGCTTTAACATGTTTGTAAAAAACAATGACTTCTTTTTGTAGTACAAGAACACTGAAAATCGTATTTAAATATCTCAAGTGCATTCGAATGATGTTTTTATATAACGGTTCAAGATGAAAAAAAAGAAAGCGTAGGGATTAAATATAATCCATTCAAATGGATAAAGAGCATTTTTTTTTGTAAAATGTGGCGTTGTAACAGTGTTTTGCATAGTTTTATTCTCATGAGAAGTTTGTCATTAATTGATCTATAAACTAGGAATCGGATCGATTCATGCTCGTACTGGTGATGTGCTTGCTTTTGTCTTCAATTGGGCGAATACATTCATTCTTGAACCGTCAACTGTTGCTATTCTTTCTTTAACATTTGGAACATATTTTCTATCAGGAATCATGGACAGTAAACATAAAATTATCTATCTATATGCGTTTTTTAGTTAATCAATATAGGTCCTAGTCCGCCACTAAGACTAATCAAAGTGTTGGCAATCTCTGTAATCGGTTTGTTAATTGATTCGCTTTCATTTCTTGTTCTCTTCTACTTGAAAATCCATAACAATTTAGGAATCCTCGGTATTATAAATGGAATTAGTGTGACGGCAGCGAATCGACTAAATATTGTTTTTACTATATCCAAAATGGTGACAATTTTAGTAATTATAATAGGTGGTCTTGTACGCATCGGACAAGGTTTTTGAAGATCTATAGAAAAGAGTAAAAACATAACTTTTAAAAGAATTCTTTTATTTTGATTAGGTTATACTGAAAATTTAAAAAATACCTTTGATGGTAATTGAAATTCTTTTTTTTATTCAAATGATTGATAATTTGTTTTATGATTATTCACACTAAAATAGGTACAACAAATAATCCATTACGTATTTCACTTGCTTTCTATTCAGGCCTTTGGGCCTATGGCGGATGGGCAAGTTTGAATTCGGTGACTGAAGAAATTAAAAATCCGAAAAGGTAATCATATTTAATCAAAAAGAAAAAAAGAATGATTTAAACCAATATCATTGATTATTTGACATGCTTTGTAGAAATTTATGGCTGTCAATTGTAGTGGCTCTTTCATCAGTAATTGTTCTATATCTTCTCACCAACATATCCTATTTCACAGTGATGAATAAAGCTGAATTGCTTAGTTCTGATGCTGTAGCTATGGTAAATATCAATCTAATTAACTATCTGAATCATGATACTAGTTCATTCTGAATATTTTAACATTTCCCATTGCTATTACTTTTACGATACGTATACTGAAAAATGTTGCCATATGAAAAAAATACAGCAGCTGCCACTACCGCCATAGTAATAAAACTTTTAAGAATTTATTAGCCGCTGCCGCTGAGCAACAACCGATTAAACCACTACGCCACGGAAGTCCGAGTGCAAAAGTCGTTTTTGTGTACTCAAAAAGTGAGTACACTACTAAAATCGGTCAGTGTGTCCGGCCGTCCGTTTATTCGATAACTTTTGAAAGGAGAGTCAGATCGCGATGAAATTTTCTACACAGATCAGTCTTGACAATATCTCGGTCGAGTTCGAAGATGAGAAGGATCCGTCAAGAAATAACTGAGTTATCGAAAAAATTGTGATTTTTGACGAGACCATCCCTGAGGGGGGGTACGGGCATTTTTTGAAAAAAAAGTTTTTGCTCATAATTATTCACAAAATACATAAATCGACTCAGTTTTTAACGCTGATTCTGAATCTGATATTAGTTTTGAACCGAATCATAGTTTTGTCTACTCAAAAAGTGAGTACACTATAGAATAGTCAGTGTGTTCGTCCGTCCGGTTGGCTGTTTACATGATAACTTTTGACAGCAGAGTCAGATTGCGATGAAACTTTCTACACAGCTTAGTATTGACAATATCTCCGTCGAGTTCGAAGATGAGAAGGATCGGCCGAGTCGTTCCTGAGTTATTCCAAAAATACCCATTTTTCTCTATAGCTTTCTGTGGAAAAATCGACACATCGCCGCTTTCGTAAAAGACTTTTCCTATCATAGTCAAATAAAACCCCAATTATTATATACCATTCGATAGAGAATTTCAAGAGCTACAAAATCATTTATAAAGCATAGAGAAACAAGAAGGTTGACTCACCTATGACAAGGATAATTAAAGAGAACTAGGTTATATTTTGGTCCACGATTTAATTGATCCACCAATCGAGCTCTAGCTTCCGATCACACTGATGATACTTCGAGGTTTTCAGATATGGAGAACTCGAATGTGTACTGCACTTCCATCGAAATACTATTAGTTGTGCAGTGACCAATAGAAATGAAGTTATAGGAAAAACGACTTTCTTAGGGTAAATCAAGGGAAAGAGTTCAAACTTGAGCTGTATTTGGCCCATGTCCTATTGGTTTGGCAACGCGTAATAGAAATCAACATTTTAAATGGTAGATTTCACAGTATAATTTTGATATTCAGACAGTCTAGGATGATTGATTTGTATGATTCACTTTTTGAAGTACACATAACTCTCGGATTTAAATCCGAAGTTTCCGCATTTATTTCCTATATACATTTATGTTTGCATAAGGAAATTTCTTCTACACTTTTCTCAGTTATTTATATATTTCGAAAAACTAATACTTGGTGTCTGAAAAAGTAGAAGTACAAAGGGCTTTTATTAATATTGATAGTTTCAATTTGATTTGTATCTGACTCTATTACTTGATATAAAGATTTTTGTGATTTTACTAAAAGTCTTTTAACTCCAATGAGGCCACTGAATATACTAAAACGATAGATTACTTGCTGTTATTTACGTTATATGTACAAAAGAACATGCAAAACAATAGATAGTCAACAAGTTTATCGTAAAATTTGCTTCGATAAGTGAAAGTCTGAACAAATACATGTTAGTTCATCCTCAATCGAAAAAGACTTGATGATTTTAGCGATATATAAGGTGCAAGCAGTATTATAAATCAATTATCGATTATCCATCGAATGATTGAAACTCATTAGTAAACAAAACTAAAACAAAACTACACACTCTCTCTACATTCTTCAAGGTACTATATAACAACAGCTGTAGAATTAGTAATACAATTTGGACATAGATCGAAATTGATCTTTTGTCGAGATAGTCTTTTTTTAATCATGCTGAGAGTTATTCAGTTTCGAACTTTCTAGCAGCCGTATACGTGAAGATTCCAAGTCATTGCCACCATGAGCATGAAAAAAAAAAAAGAACTTTTTTTTATAGTCGCCGTAGCTGAAGAGCGTACAGGTTCTAACTAGTACGATATTAGCAGAACGAAGGTCTGAAAAACTAAATCCTTCTACAACTTTTCACCGTTCATCAGTATTCATCGAAAGAACATAGTTCTAGACCAAAAACGATTTAACACATGGAGAGATTCGCTTAAGAATTATCGTCGTTTCCCTGTGAGAATGCTAAAATTGGAAACTGTCTCTAGGTTATTTTTAGAACCCAACAATCGATAGAGAAGTTTAAAAAACTCATGTATTTGAATTTGTATTGTTTATTGATAACTTAATAAATCTATATAATAACCATTTATTATACAAGTCACTTACAGTAAATCTACATTGAAAGTTATATTTGAGATGCAATATATCAATAAAGACATGAATACACATCGACTAGGAATAGATGATAAGACGTTCTATCAAATAATAAAGTAAAATTTAAGCAAAAATTTACGCTTGATTTTGCTAGTACGTTTTCTTATTCATTAGTAATCATTTTTGTCTTATTGAACGATAAAAAGCTTGATGAAATTTCAAACGCCTATCATGTATAGTAAACACTTAACAATATATATAACTAGAAAACATCATTTTTTTATAATACATTGTCATTGAAAAAGGGAAACTTTTCTTGTATATCATCTTCGATGATCTTCATATAATTTTCCTACATTACGACTACTAATGCATTGCAGATTCTCATATTCAATTAGAGCTCACATGACATTTATATGCCGAGACATTACAGCTTTAATCTTGACCACAATATAGATCTAAATCTCAGAAGGCAATTTCATTTCATCCTTTAGTAGAAAGAAATTCGAACTCAATTAATTAATCAACTCATAATTTACTTTAACGCTGAAGTAGCACTTTGAATAACTTGTGACTAACTCCTTCAAGAAGTGTTCTATCGATATTTTTTTCAAAATCTGATTGCTAAAGTGTGCTTTCGTAAAACGAATTTTTTTTAAGAAGTAGATTTATTAGATTTGTTCGGATCTTTTCACTTTCTCACTCAGATTTTTGGACTGACAGAAGCACGAGATGCATCTATAGTTAGACTCTGGTTTGTACTAAGCATGAATTTAACAATTCACATATGTAATTATGTTGAATCTTTTGTTTTATGAATGTTTTTAGACATGGGGAGAAGCTGTGTTAGGTCCTGTTGTTCGTGCATTGCCTATTCTGGTTTCGTTTAGTGCATTGGGCAGTGCCACTGCAACGATTTATTCTTCTGGTCGTTATTTTATGGTAGGCGCACGTTATGGATATCTACCTGAAATTTTTTCTTGTATTCAAAAACAACGATTAACACCGTTGCCGAGTATTGTGCTCATGGTTTGTATTAAATGAATCTATTAATGTTTTTAGAAGTATTTATTTATTGCCTTTATTTTTTAAGACAATTCTTAGTATTATCTATTGTATTCCCACTAATATTGAGGATTTAATCGATTTTGTCAGCTTTGTTGCTTGGGTCTTTTTTGGACTGACATTTGTTGCCACTATTTGCTGTAAATTTACGAAGGCAGAAGCCTATCGAGTTATTAAAGTATGTTTGTTTCTCTATAGATTGTAAACGAGAAGATATTTCGTTTTTTTTTATAGGTACCAATACCTGTAATTATTTTTATGATATTAGTTTCTATCTATCTTATTATTGCACCTGTTATATCCAGCCCAAATATTGGATATCTTGTTGCACTTATGATTGTGCTTGTCGGTTTGATATTCTACTATTTGTTTGTTTATCGTAAAATACAACCACATCTGATGAGTAAATTTATTTACTAATTAGTAATTTTTTTGTTAAATTCTCTTGAATTTTAATTTCTTTTTAGAAAAAATCAACATATTTCTTCAAAACTTTCTCAATTTAACAGTATCAACAGTCAACATTGAAGCATAATTCTATTGATAAATTCATACTAAATTTCTTTTAATTTATTTGAATAAACTATTTACTATCTAGATAGATGATTAATGGAGTATATCGATTATTATTGAAGTGACATATTATGAAAAGTTTAACAGAAATTTCGTGCAAGCCACGAGTTGGATATAAAAATTTGTGAAATTCGATTGTGAATGTATGTCGAACTATGCTAGGAGACTGTTGAGTCCTTTAAATCGTAACGGACTTTTGATCTGCTATTTGAAGACATGATAAGATATGAGAGACATGCAAAAAACACTGCTTTTACAAACAGCTAATGATTGTCTAAATGTAATCCTATCTTAGATAATCGTACTTAGTCTTTATTTGAAATTACTTGGTAGTAATAATTTTTACTTACCGATTTTATTTTATAACCATGATTTCAATTTATTAACTTAGCAAAAAAAAAATTTTTACGGAGATATAAATTATCTAAATTAGTAAATATTTTTATTACTGAGAAACTATAAATTAACTGAACGTTCAATATTTTCACTAAGTAGTCAATTTGTTTACTGAGCAGCAGATACAAATCTTACTGGACAAAAATCAGCTTGTAGCCGTTCAAAATTAGTGGAATTTGATGAAGTTGTACAAGTTCTTGAGAGTAACATATCGATAGAGCATCGAATACATGACAATCAATTTTGTTCTACGAAATGTTTCATGAAAATATTTAAAAAAAAAGTGTAATAATAGGATTGATGTATTGCGGGGTGTGGGTGTGGGTGTTGTGGTTATGATAGAGCGTGTGAGTATGAGTATGGGTGCTGGTGCTTGTGCGTGGCTTCGGGTAAAAATATTCAACAGCTACACCGCACATCCGTATCCTCAAGATATCAATTTTGTTTAGCGCCAATCACACCCCACCCATACTTCATCCACACTCACGTGCACATTCTATTTATCCATCTTGCAGTGGTGATTTTGTAAGAAGGAAGATTTCAGTTATTAAAAGAAAATATTCAAATATTCGATTCCAACTTGTTGAACAGTAAAACAAGAATGATAAGCAGTAGTTCGTTTTTTCCTACTGTTAGGCTTGATCAGCTTCTTCTGTAGCAGCTATTAACAATGCATCTGCTTCACTTTGGGAGATAGATACTCGACAAAGCGGGCATGTATCTTTTCCTTGTTTGTTGAACCAATCATTGATGCATTGAACATGAAAAATGTGTTGACACTTGTCCAGACATTGGATAGATTTTGGAGTTAGAATATCATCTATACAAATGCTTCATTGAAGTGTGTTTCTACAACAGAATTAATTCAAAGTGTATCACGAATATTTAATGGTATTTTTCAATCTGAACTGCATAACGCGAGTGTTTTTTTTTCGAGAAAGAATTTTGTTTTATGAAGTTCAAAAACTATTTGCTAAGCAAATTTTGTTTCGATCTGGGTTAGAAATTTCTAGATGTCTCTGAGAAAAAATAATCCAAGTGAGAAAGATATGGACAAACCTGCGAAGCATTTTGAGACAGAGTGTATCTACGTTGAGGTAGACAAGGTCGTTGTCTAAAATACGAAAACTAAGATGTCGAATAAATTTGATCAGTGTTATAAAGTTGCCCATGTCGGCGTTGTTTGTTATATTCTGTGTTTGCGAGTCATCTTCCAGAAATTCATCAAGAAATTCTAGAACGATCGCCTAAAAAAAAATCTCAACTAATGAGCAGTAATAAACCCCAGAAAACTGTCTTTTTTATGCATTTCAAAACAGAGTCCTTCATGTTTGCTAAGTTTATAGGTCGTCAACTAGCTTATGATGTACCTTATAGAGATCCTGCCGTAGATTCTATCAACTCTTGGATAGTCGTCCATAATTTGTAATGGTACCTGACCTTTATCATTCATGATCTGTTGCAGTCTAAAGCAAGTCTATGATTGATCTAAATCCTTTCTACCACATTTCTGTGATACGTCTAAACCGAATCATTAACAGTCTGTAACAGTTTATTAAATAGATAATTGATTAAAATATTCGTAGTTGATTTGAGGGTAAAGGTATTCCACATCCTCTATCTTGTACCCTCAGTACTCCTTTCAGATGCAGTTTTTGGAATACAAGAGAAAATGATGACTCACTTGGATTTCCTTTGTTTATACGTCTCACTTTGTCATAAAATAGGTTCGCATCTGTTAGGGGTGTGGGTGTGGGTGTGGGTGTGGGTGTGGGCGTGGGTGTGGGTGTGGGCGTGGGTGTGGGTGTGGGCGTGGGCGTGGGTGTCGGTGTGGGTGGGTAGGTGTGGGTGTGGGTATCTTTAGTTCTCTGACAGTTACAACCACACCCCACACCCACACCCACACCCACCCACACCCACACCCCACCCACACCCCACCCACACCCACACCCACCCACACCCTCCGGTAGAGTTCTCCTATTTCGACTAGTGAAATTTCTTGGTTACTATCTATTTCTGTTGAGGAGTTATTGTATATCTGGCGATGACTCTTGTTTTCGAACACACATTAGTTATTAGTTTTAAGCCAAAAACTTAAGCGCCATTGTTGATTAGAGTTATCAAAACTCAAGATTACATTATACAGTGCAGAATTTGATTGTCATGAATAATATATCCATATATTTGATGTGCATCAATAAAGACGACAAGCACAAGATGATCTGTTGTACATATCCACAATTGTTGTTTTTTCATAAATGATCTAAGTAATGAGTATTATATATATATATTAATAAAACGATTATTTTATTTTTTAATTCAAATTTTATTATGCATTGTGTTTAAATGAAAGAAAAGACTTTATTATATATGTACTTTTTATTTATAGAAATTTTGCTCTTATATAACTGAAATTGAGAGCTGATTGTGAATGTGGCAAATAATTATTAAATTTATTATGTCTTAGATTAGAAAAGTCTTTCAATCAATCCTATATACTTATTTTCTTATACGACCTTATTTAATAAATAAGAGAATTTGTTTTTCTTGTATGGAACCATATTGAGAAACATAAAAATCGATCGAAATATGTTAATATTAATCGAAATAGAATGTGAAAAAATGATTTTGTAATTCTAAATAAAAGTAGAGGAAAATTGAACATCTTTTTTTTCTGGATCAATCTATTAATGTTAGAGATATACGTGAAAAGATTTTTATTTTATCAACATCATCCACTTATTTATCGTTTTCGATAAAAAAATATAGATTTTGTTCAAAAGTTTGTTCAAGTTTAAAAGAAAAGTATTTTTCTTGGAAATGAAAATTTAATTATTTACATAAAATAACTATGAAATTTGTTAATTATATTTCGTAGAAAATAGATATTATATGGAACACATTTTTATCAATCGAAGAATAAATATTAACAATTTCAACATAGTCATTTTTCTTCTAATAAAAAGTACTTTAAGATGAAATAAGAATTTAAAATAATTCTAAATATTTGTCTCAATTACAGTGTGGGAGTTAAAACTGTTTTTTGAAAAAGTTAAAAGTTGAGAAAATCGGAAAAAGTTAAAATGGTTATAACTCGAGTTATAACTATCAACCATGGTTATAACTTTCAACCATAGTTATAATCTTCAACCCGAGTTATAACCTTCAACCCGGGTTATAACCTTCAACCCGAGTTATAACTTTCAACCGTAGTTATAACTATCAACTGTAGTTATAACCGCAGTTATAACTACAGTTATAACTTTCAACCATAGTTATAACTATTAACTGTAGTTATAACTTTCAACTTCATTAACTTTCTTAATCTTTTGAGCAGAATTAATTAAATTGAAATGGTAATTACCTTGATTTATTGACATCTTTGATAGAATAGATAGAAATACATATATTTGCAATGTTCTTTAATTCAGAAAAGCAATGTTTTATAAATCCTTATTCAGTACTTTTAATGTATTCATATACAAGCTACATTTTCTTCTATCTATACATCGAGCCTGAATGAGACAATTATTCTTTGTGAAGTAACATTAAGGATTCTTTTCTATGCTGACAGCTGCTAACAAAGCTTGGAATTACAACCGTTTTCACTGAAAATGTAGTAGTCAAGCATATGTAGTTTCGAAATATAAATGTGTCTTTGAAACTTGAACAATAAAGTAAAACTAGTAAGAAGTTGCGATTGCTACGACTTCCAACCATAGTTATGACTATCAACCATAGTTATAGTCATAAATTCTATTAAATATAGTCACTAATCAACATAACTCTTAGCACTGCTCGTAACTTTGAACTAATTAAAACTACTGGTCAAACGGAGGTCCATAAATAAGATATGCTGCCGCAAACGTCAACATGACATCATTCATTTCTTTTTCCTGAATAATTTTACAACCGTTTCTCCTTATGTTTGAGATAAAGAATATAATGATTGTATTTTCTTTTCTTTCAATCACCTATCTCCTTGTGCTCTTGTCATATTGATTTTCTTATTCTTCCATTTTTCTTCTTCGTTCAATTATATATAGACGTGGAAAAAGTAGAATACGATACATACTCATATAAGTAGTAATGATTGTGTAAAAGTGAACAGAAAATAAGCTGATACAATGACTTCGAATTGAAATAAAACGTATGTAATTATCTTGACAGAGACTATTATCTTACTTTCGTCACCACATGTGTTGTAGATTAATACCACTATGTTAAAGAATTAAAATTAAAAATAGAGTTGTTTCTTTTTTTAAATAGTATTCTCAGCTGTTCACAACTTAAGATTTTAATTAATCATATAACAAAAAATATATTTATTTACGAGTATGTTCCGGGTCGATGTATAGATAGAAGAAAATGTAGCTTGTATATGAATACATTAAAAGTACTGAATAAGGATTATAAAACATTGCTTTTCTGAATTAAAGAACATTGCAAATATATGTATTTCTATCTATTCTATCAAAGATGTCAATAAATCAAGGTAATTACCATTTCAATTTAATTAATTCTGCTCAAAAGATTAAGAAAGTTAATGAAGTTGAAAGTTATAACTACAGTTAATAGTTATAACTACGGTTGAAAGTTATAACTCGGGTTGAAGGTTATAACTCGGGTTGAAGGTTATAACTGGGGTTGAAGGTTATAACCCGGGTTGAAGGTTATAACTCGGGTTGAAGGTTATAACTATGGTTGAAAGTTATAACCATGGTTGATAGTTATAACTGAATTAACTTTTTGACCAAAAAGTTGATCGGTTATAACTCAAAAGTTATAACTCGAGTTATAACTCGGCTAGTTTTAACTCCCACACTGCTCAATTAAGAATTATTTTATGAATATATAACGTCAAATATTTATTCTTCGCAAGGAATTCTAATAGTGCATAGTAACCTAGAGGAAACTTTCTTTTTTTTCTGGAGTAATAGTAAAATGAAAACTCTATTTTCCTATGAGATATTTATATTAATGCTCATTTAAAACCGGAAGACTAATGAGTATCTTTTGAATAACTTTTCATAGAAACAAGGTAGAAAGATGCAGTGTTCACTCTTCCATAGACTAAATGACGACACATGGAATGGTATATTTTTCTCTTAGATTGAAAAAGAGGTGCTGTGAAAAATGCCATCTTTTTTTCGTATGAAATCTTTTTTTTTTGAGCATCAATGTTAACATCACCATCACATGTCATCATAAAGTATAAAAGAATATATATTTGAAACTTTCCTTGTTTTCTATTCTATGTCTCTATTTCAAGATATGCAGTGCATGAGTTATTACTCAAATTGATGCCGAAAGTTTGTTCTTATCCGCCGTTTTATTCAATCATCGTTTGTTTGGTAGAATGGTGAGTGCACGACATGCAAGTTATCCTTACACATTCGAGATGAAAACAGACGAATTGAACATGAAATGTTTCACAAGACGATAAAGATATCGTGCACTCAATATTACAATGCTTGACAAACACCGGTTGTTATCATGCGCTGCGTATTATCATTCCGTTACGTCGACGTCGTCTTTTATCGCGTCTTTCCGTCTTCATGCCTTTTCTTTCTTCCGTTTCTACTTCTTCTCGTTCTTCGTAACAGAAGAATAAACATAATTTTCTAACTAATGGAGCTTCTGAGGGTGGCTCTAAAGCAAATGAACCTTCCCAGGGATATCCGACGTTCTGTTGGTGACCCGTGCAGACGTGCAGATGGTAGGCATTCATAGCATACATCAATGTATGTATGAATAGAAGCGTCCATTTCGTCCTCGTCTTTTCGAAGATGATGGTCATGGTCGTACTATTCATACATACATCAATGTATGTTTGCCTAACCATTGCCGGCTTTGTCCACTGTACGAACCAGCAGAATGCGGAGGGTACTTCTGGTCACGCGTACGCGAAATTTTGCAGCTGCTTGGTTCGGTGAGCGAAGCTTTCAAGAAGGCCAATTAATTTTTTTGTTTAGAAAAAAAAAACAATTACATTTTCTTTTTTACATTTTCAATGTTTCTTTTCGACTTTGCAATGTCGGGATGATTGAACGGAAGTGATTTTTGCTGGATCTCAAGTCCTTTTTGGAGAAATGAGAGCGCTCTCGAGTACTCGCGCATGTTTTCATAAACTAGACCGATACTGTTGTACGAAGTAGCTAAATCAGGATGATTCTGAGGAAGAGTTCCTTTGCGAATATCAATCGCTTTTTCAACCAATGAAAGAGCTTTCGAGTACTCGCCCATGTGGTTATAAACTTCACCGATGTTGTTGTAGGAAGCAGCCAAGTCGGGATGGTTTGGAGGGAGAGCTATTTTCTTGATTTCAAGTGATCGTTCGTACGATGAAAGTGCTTTCGAGTACTTGCCCATGTTATAATACACCGCACCGATGTTGTTGTAGGAAGCAGCCAAGTCGGGATGATTCGAAGGGAGAGCTTTCTTGGTAATCTCCAGATCTTTTGCATAATATGAAAGTGCTTTTGAGTACTCGCCCATATTATCATACACCATCCCGATGTTGTTGTAGGAAGAAGCCAAGTCGAGATGATTCGGCGGGAGAGCTATTTTCTTGATTTCAAGTGATCGTTCATACGATGAAAGTGCGTTCGAGTACTCGCCCATGCTATCGTACACCATACCGATGTTGTTGTAGGAAGAAGCCAAACTGAGATCATTTGGAGAGGGAATTTTCTTGTAAATATGCAGTGATTTTTCGTAATATAAAAGTGCTTTTGAATACTCTCCCATGCTATAATACACCCAGCCAAGCTGATGATTGTAATCTGCTCTATCTTTATCAGAAGGCGCCTTTTCAATGAGGATCTGATAGAGTTGTTCTGCTTTTGCAGGCTCACCAAGTTTAATAAGAATGTGACCAAATCGAGCCCATCCTGTTGCCCAAATGAACTCTTTTCGCAGTGTTAATGTGAGTTTGTTAAAGTCATCATCTTGATTACCAACGAGTGTGAGATCAACTTGCCATAAGCGATCAGTTTGGTTGTCTTCAATTCTTTCGATGCGATCGATACGAAATATTGTATGTGTTGAAAATAGTAGTTCTTCCTCTTTATTTTTGTAATAGCCAACCTTGCTTACTTCAGCAAATGGTGTTGATGATTTTGTGCAAATAGCCGTGTCAATGTTCATAATGAAAAGGATGCCAACTGAATTTGTATTAAATGCTGCTGGTCGTGCAAAGTTGTTGATAGATATCTGACGATTGCGACTTGTTGACAGAAAATTATTAAAGGACATAAGTCCTCCTTTGGTTTTTTTCATTTTTTCAAAATCTTCAATGGACAAACCTTGTCCACGAAAGACTTGAAATTTTGCTGGCATGCTGGCTTTTTGTTCGCGATGTAGTTCGGTAATATGCTGATGTAGATGTCGGATGAAAAAGCCCATTTTAAGGATGATGTCAACATCCATTTCTCGGAGTCCTCGATTGAGCATTGAGTACATGAAATAAGGAGCCGTATACCACCAAACTGGTGTCTGGTTTCGGTATTCTCGCTGCACTTTTTTTATTTCATCTTCATCAACATCATTTTGCAGACGACAGTATTCTACGAGATCTTTAATCGATTTGACATCGTCATCTTCAACTTCCAAAAGCGCTTCTTTTAAAAGTTGTGTATACATAAATAATGGATCACGACCATTAAAGCTGATCGAGATCATTGCTCGATCACAATTTTCAAGATCGATCTGCAAGGCCTTACAGATCGGTTTGATTTTTGTGTATACACCTTTAACCTTTGGTACTTTATTGGCCCATTGTTCATGATAAGATTGATTGCGACAAAAAACATACACAGATTCTAATTGTGGTATGGTTTCAATATCTGTTACTATTTTTTGTCCAAGTGAGCCTGACACTATCATAAATACCTTTTGATTTGTAACGGCACTGAGAAAATCAATGCATTCTTGGGCATCGGTAAATGTTTCGATGCTTGCTACAACACGTCGCAGGCGTCGAAACGATTTCTTGAAATCGTCATTGGACTCATCCAATTTGGCATCAAGCCATAGAAGCCGGAAATTTTGAAGAACCCGACGCATAGGTCGAGACAACACAACAGCAGCACGATTGTTCGCGTTGGTAATAGTGGTGGTGCTAGGCATCGCTGCTGCACCACTGATAACAGTTGTTGTCGATTTTTGTTTGCTCATTGTAATTGAACGAATGAATACAATCAGTGAAACGTAGTCCCCTATATTTATAATTGTTAAATTTTTTGTTGGTCAACATCATTGCTTTTCTAACTTGTGGCTACAGATTTCAAGAACTTCTACTATCTGAATCATTTTTATTTCAAGAGTGTTACTAACAAAATGACGATAACGGATGGATCAAGTCTCTATACATCGAACCATAAATAAAGAAGAATGACTAAGGAAACAAATAGTCGCTGAGGATCAGGGCTTTCGTTTGTTTTTGACCAAGGGGGGGAAAAAGTTTTTTTCCCAAAGAGAATCTACTGGGAGAAAACGAAAATATTTTTCCAAAGAGAAAATCCGCTGGAGAAAAACGGTAAATTTTTTCAGGGAGACTTTCTCCCAAAATTTTAGGAGGGGGAAATTCCCTCCCTCCCCCACCCCCCCCCCCTAATCGTACACTATGCTGAGGATGGACGACATGACAGGTTCGAAATGTCGAAAATATCGGTCCTAACTAGTTATCCTGACATGAAAACTCCTGCAGCTACGTCTGAACTAGTCCAGAATGTCCTTGAACTTTGGCATGTCTAGTTCGTTTGTCTATCAAACCTGTCCATATTAGTTCATAGAACGGCAAAAGAGCATTTCTAAAAGTAAAAATTGTGCCTTTCATTGCTGGTACTCGTGTTGAAATGTATGCACACAAACAGTTACTCTGTTGAATATGTTTTACAATAAAATTGTTTTATACATACAAGATTCTGCAACTAAGACAATCGGTTGCATGTTCTGAGTATTATCAAGCGAAGTTCTCGTAAAAATACTTTATAAACATAAAAATAACACATGTTTATGAACCGTCATTTTTTTGTGTGTAGCTACTCTTTACTTTTAACTTTAATTTTCTTACTAGTCTAATAATGTTAGAAACTAAATATACTTACGTGCTATGTAATATTGGAGTGTAGCAAATTTTGTTTTGTGTGCTTGCAATCGATTTTATTCTGTATTTATTATTGACAAAATTACTTGGTTTTTTCCAACAAACGTATATCTACATGAATCAATGAAGCATGACTTTTTCATCATGTAAACGACTTTTTCGGCCATGTGTTCGTCATAAAATGCGTTTCGTTTTTCATATATTCTACTTCTTCTTTTGGTGTACTCAAAAAGTGAGTACACTCTAGAATCGGTCAGTGTGTCCAGCCGGCCGTCCGTTTACACGATAACTTTTGAAAGGAGAGTCAGATCGCGATGAAATTTTCTACACAGTTCAATCTTAACAATATCTCGGTCGAGTTCGAAGATGAGAAGGATTGGCCGAGCCCTTCCTGAGTTATTGAAAAAATACTCATTTTTTCCTATGAGAAGATAGACCCTTCTCTGTTTTCATAAAAAACTTTTCCTATCATAGTCAGATAAAACCCCAACTATTATATACCATTCGATAGAGAATTTCACGAGCTACAAAATGGTATATAAAACATAAAGAAACAAGAAAGCTAACTCGCCTATTGCAAAGATAATTAATCGGAATTCTGTTCTGTTTTTGTCCATGCTCTATATGATCCACAATTATAGCTCTATCTTCCCATCACAGAGATGATAGTTTGAGGTTTTCTAGAATGGAGAACTCGAATCTATGTTCCATTCGCCTCGAAATCCCATTGGTTGAGTAGTGACCAATACAAATCAAGTTATAGGAAAAACGAGTTTCTTAGGGTAAATCAAGGTGAAGAGTTCAAATCTAAGCTGTATTTGCCTCCAAATCGTATTGGCTGAGCAATAGCCAATAGAAATTAAGTGTTTACAGAAAGGGTTTGCCAGGGCAATTTTGATGTCCACACATTCTAGGGTGACTCATCTGTCTCATTCACTTTTTGAAGTACACATAACTCTCGGATTTAAATCCGAGGTTTCCACATTTTTTATTTTACCTTACCTTTGCGTTTCGTGTTGTTGCAATAATAAAATATACACTGATACTTGTATAAGCGTAAATTTGAGTTATGATGATTCATTAGGCTTTGAACTTTATTCTAATATATATAAATATTTTCTATCGCAAAATTTTTTTTTGAAATTAATAATCATTGTTAGGTTATTGATTTGCACTTGGAGTTCGATTCAACAA